TGTGCTGCTTATAATATATAAAATAGATAGGTTAGTTAAACGAAAGGGTACGAATATAATCAGTACGATAAACATTTATTAAATATTAATTATCAAATATATGACAGAAATGAAAGACGGAAAGGAATGTTTTAAGTTCGGAATTTTCGGACACGACTGTGTACTTCATTAACGGACCGAGAAATAAACAGAAAAATGGGAATTACTCACCGACAGATGGTTTTATAGACGGTGTATTTTCTGGTGAAAATTATATTGTTAGAAAAAAAACCTATCTCGGTGTGTGAAACTTTTTATGAAAATAAAATAAAATTTAAAATTTTGATCGGGGTAAAAGCGTCAGGCAAGTCTATTTTAACTCGTGGGGGAGTAAAGATTGTGAACGTAGATGAAGAGGGTTATAGGTTGGTGGAAGGGAAAAGAAGTCTTGCGTGTCGCAAGTTTTAGCCAAAATTATTGGACGAAGTTATCTAGTTTAGAAAGGTGGGCTGTGGTCAGAAAATGGTGGTATGAGAAAAAACGAGGAGTACAAATGGAATATATAATAAGATATTATTAAATGAAATGGATAGGAAAAAAGAGCAGGGACAATAAAATGGATAAAAATAATAAAGGAAAAACTTAGACGAAAAGCGTATACATATATAGATGCACATGTGTACATAAGTAGACCTGTGTAAATATACGCAACGTACTGCACAAACATATGAATCTCAATACACATAAAGATATAAGCACATATACAAGACTAATATGTATCTACACAAACCTTCAACACTAAGCTTATATATATATATATATATATATATATATATATATATATATATATATATATATATATATATATATAATAATGCATTTTATGAAACAGTAATTGGTCAGAGGTAAATTTGACCAGGAATCAGTAGTTTTAAAAAAGTGCTCAATACACGTATAGAAAAAAAAATTAACATGTTGAGCTATTATTGGCCGATCTCCTTTTAAATATATATATATATGTGTGTGTGTGTGTGTTGTTTTTGTGTCTATGTGTGTGTGTTTGTGCATATAAGCATGTGTGTGAGTCAATATGTGCGTGCCCACTAATATAATACTAGAAATGTGAAAAAACACCTTCTGGCATTTTGCCTTATACTGAGTGCGTTTGGCTTTCAAACTGTTTGCATTTACTTCGAAAAAAAATTGGGTGATGAAGGCTACGAGAACAAAAATTAACATTTTTTTTCTGCAGAAGAACTTGAAAATATACACGCGAACTGAAGCAAACAACGATTTCCCTTTGAGTAGACATAATCGATATTATGCAAATATTTATATTTATTCACATGCATAGCGTATATATATATATATATATATATATATATATATATATATATATATATATATATATATATATATATATATATATAGAGAGAGAGAGAGAGAGAGAGAGATTACTGAAATAGCTTCATATCTCACTGTGGTATCTATCTATCTCAGTTTGTCTAAATATCTACTGAGCCTATTCATACCTATCTATCTTTCTTTCTTTTTTCTATCTATATATCTATCTCTCTCTCTCTGTATATATATATGTATATATATATATATATATATATATATATATATATATATATATATATATAGAGAGAGAGAGAGAGAGAGAGAGAGATTACCGAAAAAGCTTCATTTCTCACTGTATCTATCTATCTATCTTAGTTTGTCTGTCTACTGAGCCTATTCATATCTATCTATCTATCTATCTATCTATCTATCTTTCTTTCTTTCTTTCTTTTTCTATATCTATATCTATCTATCTATCTATCTCTCTCTCTCTCTCTCTCTCTCTCTCTATATATATATATATATATATATATATATATATATATATATATATATATATATATATATATATAGATATATATATAGATATATATCAGTATATTTCCTTTAAGTAAACGCCAATCGATAAACGTACAATTTTTTTTTATACTTTATCCACACGCATTAATTTTTTCATACGGACGAATATCTATAACTTTAGAGAGATACCATTTTACTCTGATTCTAAAATCAACACCGTATTACAGGGATGAAATGCTGGGATAGCTTTTAATAATAAAATTCCATTTCTTATAGCCAACGATTCATACTTACATCACACTATAACAAGTTTCCTTTCTAACATACATACATACATACATACATACATACATACATACATATATATACATACATATATATATATATATATATATATATATATATACATATATATATATATATATATATATATATATATATATATATATATATATATATATATGTATATATATATAAAGTATCAAACAGTGAGTGTTGGTGATTATAAAGTACTGGTCGATGAAATTGAGTTTCTTGGGTGCTTGTATCGTGTATGAAACTCAAAGTTTTGTTATATATATATTTATTATTATCTATAATTATTATAAATAACCCTAAACCATGACTCGTGTGCCGCCAGCGGCCTGCTCGTGGATGTATGCTGGTTGTGCCCCTTTTTACATCACAGTTAATATAAAAGATAAATTCCTGTCGTTCATTACCATATTAAATACGCTCAATATAGTCAAAACAATCATCAGTCATGATTTTGAAAACATTTGGGATATATATGTGTCCTTTGTGATTACTGAAAACAATACAAATTAACAGCTTTAAACAAAACGTGTATGTAACACAAACATATGTGTAAATATTGTTCATGTCTTGAAGCTCTGAAACATCTGAAGTTTATCGTATGTGCCTTTTACATTAAATAAGTTTGGCCATCCCTGCGCTATATAGTTAAATTTCTGTCCCATCTTGATGTATCTTCGGATACCTGTGTCTTTCTTTCCGTCTTCTTCTATTGCACGATGCAAGGGATGGCCAAACCCGGGATCACGAGCCACCTGCGGCTCTTTGACCCTTAATATGCGGCTCGTGGAAATATGTTGTCTGATCTCCTTTTTTCATCGCAGTTTGTTTAAAAGGTAAATAAGAAAAAATCAATCATTATAATAATCTACTGGTATGAATTGAGAGTCCATAAAATTAAAACTTAACTTAAATGTTCATGGTTAGTAAAATCATTTAAGAATTTAAATCCTAATGTCAATGCTAGATCTGATTGAGGGATTGTTCTTTAGCGCTGAGAGAATGAATCGTGGGCGGCAGATGAAGTTTTACTGAGGAATATCAGAAGACTAAAGTCATAGGTAATGAGAGTAAGGGAAACACACTGACGTCATGTACATATACTGAGTGTCCATAAAGTTCGTGTGCGCTTAAAAAAATTATAACTTTATTTGTATTTGCGATAGAAATAATCTGTAAAAAAATGTTATAAAGTTTAAAGTACCTAGTTTTAAGTATAGCTAAAATAACTAATGTGATTTCAGGCATTACTGTAAATCAGTTGGCAGATGTTTTCTGTGAACTGCAAAATCGTATTACCCTTTGTATTGCTTATGATGGAGGACATGTGGAAACTTAAATAAAAATTCAATAAAACCTTAAAAAATATAGATTTACTACTTTCTAATCCTTTTTACAAATTATTTCTATCGCAAATACAAATAAAGTTATAAATTTTAAAATGTGCACACGAACTTTATGAACACCCTGTATATATTTTTTAGTCTTCTTTTGTTAGGGATTTAGAGAGTTGTATGTTGGTCACACTAACATAGCTGACTTTTCTTTCGTTTATACAGGGTGTCCATAAAGTTCGTGTCCACTTTAAAAATTAATAACTTTATTTATATTTGCGATAGAAATAATCTGTAAAAATGTTTAATGCACCTAGTTTTAAGTATAGTTATTGAATAATTCTTTACCACAAAATTTTCAACAATTTTTACATAAGTAAAAAAATATTTTCTTTTTTTCCAGAATCAATTTGATCCATGGCTTCAACTGAGGAAAAAGTAAACTGTGTCCTTTGGTTGGCTGAACTGAAATCTATTATTGCTGTACAAAGAAAGTTTAGAATTAAATACAATAAAGAACCACCTCATAGGAACACTATTGTTAAATGGATGAAAAAATTTAAAGTGACAGTCTCCGTCGAGGACATGGGGAAACTTAAATAAAATTTCAAGAAAACCTTAAAAAATATAGATTTACTTCTTTCTAATCCTTTCTAAAAACTTAGAAAAACATAGATTTACTTCTTTCTAATCCTTTTTACAAATTAATTCTATCGCAAATACAAATAAAGTGCACTCGAACTTTATGGACACCCTGTATAAATTTATGTTACTGAAATGCAAATTTGCACATTTTTCTTAGAAGTTCTTGTAGTTCATTGCTGTATTAAAGACGATCAATATAGTTAAAACAATCACCAGTTATATATATATATATATATATATATATATATATGTGTGTGTGTTTGTGTGTGTGTGTGTGTGTGTGCGTGTGTGTGACCTCTGTGATAATAGAAACAAATACAAATTAACAGCTTAAAAATCTGCATATCGGATTCGACACTGTTTCACTTGATCAAAAAGCGCTTTGGATAATGAGCATTATTCATAAAAGGGAAAGATTGAAAAATATTTATACATTTTTTCCTAGAATGTCTATTAAACACGCAAATACACCTCACAAACATGCGCATACACCTCCATATATACATGCATACTGCTAATAAATATTTATTTTGCTTCGTGTATGAAGAGATTCACATGACCGCCCACTGAGTCAGGTTCTGACAGAAGGTCGTTTTTTAACGTGGGGACCCGATTGAAAGCACTCGGGCCACTGGTCTAAGATGGCCTTAGCTGGTCATAGTTTGTCCAAGCTGTTCAAAGTTCGTCTAAGCTAGTCATAGTTGGGCCATAGCTTGTCCAAGCTGGTCAGAGCTCGTCTAAGCTAGTCATAGCTGGTCTTATCTGATCATAGCCTGTCCAAGCTGGTCTAAGCTAGTCACTCACCGGTGGTCCAGAAAGGAAAGTCCGCCAGCTTGGGGAGATGACCAGTGACTATGGGATCACCAGGTTTGGGTTAAAGGAAATGAAAGCTAAGTCCTTAGCTCCAGTGCAGGTAAGTCGGCGGCGGAGAACCATCCGGTCATTGAGGAAAGAGATACGAAGGTTACGAGCAGCAATGCGGGATGATGAGCAGAGGGCAGAGGAAATTAAGCCAATCCTGAGAGACATATAAGGAAGCGCATTAGCAAGTTAAGACCCGGAAGTCATTCACGGAAAGTCCATTTCACTTCACGAAGCAGTTGTTTAGGAGAAGACTAGCGGGGGCGTTGAGTGTTGAGGAGGAGGAGGAGCTGAAGAGACACCTTATGAACACTTACTCGGATACCAGCAGAGAGGTCCCAGCTGAAGTGATGCCAGATTAATCAGGCCTGGCGCCCCGGAAGTAGCTTTTGATGAGTCTCCAGTAACTTGGAAGGAAGTCCAAGAAGTTGTACGGAGGTCAAGAGCGTGTTCTGTGGATGCTCGTAATGGGGTGACATATGCTGTCTACAAGAGGTGTCCAAGGCTGCTGAGGTGTTTGTGGAGGCTTCTTGTGAAGATTTGGGAAGTTGGTGATGTTCTGTACTGTTGGCGTCCAGCTGATGGGGTGTATATACCGAAGGAGGAGAATTCGATGACACTAAGTCAGTTTTGTCCAATATCTCTCGTGAACGTTGAAGGAAAGGAGTTTTTTAAGGTGTTTGCCAGGAAGCTGACGGGCTACCTTCTTGGAAATAACTATATAGACACTAGTATTCAAAAGGCAGGAGTCCCGGGGTTTCCATGGTGCTTGGAACATGTGTCAATGATTCGGGCAAAGATTCGCGAATCTAAAATTGAAAGGAAGAATATTCACGTCATCTGGCTGGATCTTGCTAATGCATATGGTTCAGTTCCGCATAACATGATACAGCTGCCGTTGGAGTTCTTCTACGTTCTGCAGAGACTCAGGGATTGTCTGGCTATGTACTTCAATCAGTTCATGTGTTTTTCAACGATGAAGTACACTAGAAGGTATGTGGAGCTACAGAGGGGAATTGCTTTGGGATGTGCCATCTCTTCAGTACTGTTTGTGATGTTGATGGAGGTGATCTTGAGAGGTCTGACGCCAGAGTACCGCTTTCTGCAGAATGAGGTCAAGCTCCGGGCATTTATGGATGATTTGACGATAATTCAAGATGATAGTAAAGTAGCACAGTTGGTTCTGGATAGACTTGCAGAGTTGGTAGAGTAGAGTCAGATGGTCTTCAAACCAAAGAGAGCAGGTCACTGTCTATAAAGAGAGATTCTGTCATACATGAAGTGTTTTCCATCGCAGGTGAAAAGATACCAACAGTTCAGGAGCAAGGTGTGAAGAGTCTTGGGAGGTGGTATAACTTCCATGTGACAAATCGTTACCGTGGGATTGAAATCCAGCAATAAGTGGGGGTGGGCCTGCAAAGAATAGACCAATGTAGGCTTCCCGGGAAATTTAAGGTGTGGTGTATGCATTTTGGATTGATGCCGAGACTAATGTGGCCGCTAACTATATATGAGGTGGCACTGACTCGAGTTGAGATAGTTGAGAGGAAAAATAATAAATACATACGGAAGTGACTTGGTGTTGCAAGGATTCTGTCGCCCGTCGCTTTGTATGGCAGTTCGGTGGGCCTTCAGTTACATCTTACTTCTTTGGTGGAGGGGTACAGGGTGGCTAAGGTGAGATTGCTGTCCATGCTGTGTGAATAGAGATACTGTAATCTGGAAGAATGTGCCGGAGGTGAAAACAGGAAGAAAGTGGAAAGTGTCAGACGTGGTGTCAGCATGGAAATGATGGTAAAGCAGGCAGAAGTTCAGTGGGTTACAAGAAAGGGACGTGCTGGACTTGGTCTAGTTGAGAGGGAGAGATCCTAGTCAGAGGCCATTAGACATAGGGGCAACGCAAGTTACAGGAACAGGGAGTTCGAAAGCTCGAGGAGGAGAGACGTTTAGTGCGGACTGTCCAGCAGATTCAGCAGGCTCGATGGCTCAACTGGGAGGGTATTGAGGGTGTTTAGTTCGGGTGGTCTGATTGGTGGCGTCTAAGCGCAGGACATTTGAGGTTCCTCATACAGGCAGCATATGATGTGACAGCATCACCGGCAAATTTGAAGAGATGGAGAGTGCAGATGTCACCCTCCTGCCGATTGCGTGGAGCTTATGGAAACCTCCACCACATAGTCATCCTCCCCGAAGGCGCTACAGAACGGCTGGTACACCTTCAGACATAACTTGGTTCTGGAGGTCGTGGCAGCAGCTGCAAGAAACGCTAGCATACCCTCGTTGGACCTTCGAAGAGTAGCCTTCCTGAAGTAAGGTGTGAATGACACAAGGCAGAAGACCAGGTCGGAGGACTCAAGGAAGTGGAGAGTGTTGGTTGATGCTAAACTGCCAGTACGGGTTATTGTGCCTGCACTGAGACGAGATCTACTGTTAATTGATATCGAGAAGCAACATCTGTTGCTTGGCGAACTGACCGTGGCATGGGAAGAAGGGATTGAAGAGGCTCATGAAAGAAAGTTGCTTTGGTATGAGGAAATGCTGGCTAAAGTCTGCGAGAGAGCATATGGCTGCACCCTGGTGCCATTTGAGGTTGGCTGTAGAGAATTTCCTGCTACTTCTCGAAAGAGATTCCTTAAGTGTGCTGGGGTCCAAAAGACGGATAAGGTGATAAAGACTTGTGGTGAAAAAGCCGTGGAAGGCAGTGTATGGATTACCCAGAAATTCTTATCGAGTCGCATCCAACTAACATAGACCGGCTGCAACGTAACATCCTCCATCTGCTGCGGGTCCACCGTGTGGAGAGGTACTGAGCTTAATGGGCCGAAACTTTGCCGAAGCACGACGTTCAACTGAAGATTGCAGCTGGACTTGATGTGTACATGTGTTCTATATATATATATATATATATATATATATATATATAGTCATCCACAGACAGACTGTTTCGCTGTATCACAGCTCATCAGTGTGGCTAGACGTCAAGTTGCTTCTAGCTAGGATCGGAACCCGACTGAATTGGCGTCAGTCGGAGATTCTACCACTAATCCGTTGGCGGGAATGAAGGGGAATTTAAGCGTATTTATTTTTAGATAAATACACAGTGACTGAGAGAACTCGATTCGATTTACTGAAGAGTCTTGCATTACTAGTCGTAATAGTCACTATTTACAAACCCACACTCACCATCCCCAGAGACCTCAACCGAAATATTTTTTTCGGGAGCATATATTGTCATCCACAGACAGACTGTTTCGCTGTATCACAGCTCATCAGTGTGTCTAGACGCCCGGTTGCCTCTAGCTAGGATCGAGACCCGACTGAATATATATATATATATATATATATGTGTGTGTGTGTGTGTGTGTGTGTGTGTGCGTGTGTATAATTCTGAATTAATGGATTCTTTTTTTTACTCTGGCATATATGTGTTAATTTAAACGTTATTTTTAGTGGATACCCGTATTTTTAGACGATCTGTATATTTTAAACAGTATCTTATTTCGTCCACCGGCCTGCACATTCGAGAAAATCCATAAAAGGCCCAAAGCCAAGCAGTGGATCCCTGCAGCTGTGACCAAAGCCACACGGTACAACGGATGAAAGACTGACTCGTATTATACAATGCCTACAATTAAGTTTTCATAATCACAGAACAAACCCTAAATTTTCTCCAGTCCCGAGTAACGGTCCCACTCTCTAAGAAGCTGGAATATCTATTAAGTTCACTACACACACGTTGAACTCAAATACACGATGAATCGCTGGTGGTCGGTTCTTTGTATCACATCAGAAACTACCTGAGTCTTTTCATCATGCTCTATCGTTACAGGAGTCACATCAGACCAGAAATGGTAGTTTTTTTCAGTCAAGTTGCCCCCAATCAAGCCATTATAGTCACTGATACACAAGGGTTACTGGTGTGGAAGAATTAGAAAACAGAAAAACCACTAAGGATGGCAGTAGATAGCAACTGATATTGAATTTAATTTTTTGAAGATTAAAGTTCGCTGGAAAGCCTTTATCCGGAACGGGGTCCCACAAGTGCGAGAAAAATATCTGTTAACATAGACATTACGGTTGCATTTATCAGGTCATCCCATAAGTTCTGTCCGAATTTTAACTTTTTGTTAAAATGAACGAAATTTAAAGAGTATTTTATAATGTCTAATGGAGCTGAACATTATTTTTATGTTTAGATGCATTTAAACTGATCAAATTTTATTTCAGAGAACAATAAAATTAAATTTTGTTTGATTAAAACCCTGCTAACATGGAAGTACCCAAGAATCATTTGAGGCACATAATGCTTTATGAGTTCAAGAAAGGAAACTCAGCAGCTGAAGCGGCTAGAAACATTCACTCAGTTTATGGAGAGGAATGTGTGAATGAAAGAACTTGCAGAAGATGGTTTGCAAAATTCAGGGATAGAGATTTCACGCTTAAAGATGAAGATCGAATCGGACGTCCAGTTGAGTTTGATGAAAAGCTTCTTCAAGCAGCTCTTGAAGAAAATCCTGCTTTATCAGTTGAGGAATTGGCAGTGGTTCTCAGTTCAAACTATACAACTGTTTATCGTCATCTTCAACAACTTGTAAAAGTTCCTAAGCTTGAAAAATGGGTGCCTCATGAATTGTCTGAAAACAACCTCAAATCCCGAGTTGACATCTGCTCTTCTCTCCATTCCCGCCAACTTATTTCACCTTTTTTGGATAGACTTGGGACTGGCGACGAAAAATGGAACTTTTATCGAAATTTTAAGCGTCGTAGACAGTGGCTTGGTAAAGGGGAAGGACCCCAGCCACAGACGAGAAGGGAACTTCATGGGCAAAAGGTTCTTCTTTCAATCTGGTGGGATCGCCAAGGAATAATCCTCTTTGAATTCCTACCACCTAATGCAACAATTAATGCTCAAATATACTGTCAGCAGTTAGAGCGTTTGAACCAAGCTTTGAGGAAAAAAGACCTGCTCTAGTGAATCGAAAAGAGGTGATGTTTCATCAGGACAATGCGCGACCCGATACAGCAAGAATCACGTCACAAAAGATCGAAGAAAATTCCTCATCCACCTTATTCTCCCGATCTTGCTCCTTCAGATTACCATTTGTTTCGTAGCATACAGAATCATTTGGAAGAAACAGCTTTTGTAACACAGGAAGAGGTTAAAACTAACATTTGTGAGATCTTCGAATCCAATCCAAAAGAATTTTACAGTAATGGAATTAGTAAGCTTGTTAATAGATGGAAGGAAGTCATAGATAATCGTGGAAAATACATTGTTGATTGAATCTGTAATTAAATGTAACATTTGGTCACTTGTTTTCTTTATTCAAAATTCGGACAGAACTTATGGGATCACTTGATAACTAACTCAAATATATATCGATGAAATTTTGTTGCTAGTCTAGTCCTGTGCTTATATTTATAAAATCTAGGTACCTTAGCGAAAAAGTCAACCGTACAATTCCTAGGAAAGGCAACTTTATGGCAGTGGGAAAGTGAGCGAAGCCGAGACGCAAGATTAGGACCAATAGTATTGCTGATTCTTCTTCGGATTTTATCAAGATTTTCGAAATATACAGTAGGCCCACAGGATAAAACATGGCAGCAATATTCTAAGCATGGACGAATGGTAGATTTATAAAAATTTAAGATAAATCACAGAGGGAAAAATGTCTCGCACAAAATAGTGAACTAACTTTCTTAGCAACTGACCTATCAAGGGATTCAATAAAGTTTTTCTACTTCATGTCATTCGAGATCATTACCCCGCTAAGACAGAGAATCACTCCCTGGAGGTTAGTATCGGCCATGTTGATGGAATACAGAAAGGGTTCTCTCAGGTGATTAACAGCTTTCATTTTGGAGGCGTTAAAATCAGCAAGCCGTCCATTGCCCCGTTAACAAGAGACTGAATTTCTTTTTTTTGAAATCAGCCATCAATTTGACATTAACGAGCCAGACTTACTATCGAGACAGGAGTAAATGGTTGTGTCATCATCATATATACAAAGGTGAGAGCTGGCGTAAATTTGGGGGGGTTGTGAAAGATTTGTGTTCAATATCAAATATAATAATTTACAGAAAAGGTACGGTGAAACAACATTAGAACGGAGGGAAAATGTTTGATACCGAGATGTCAGATAAAGTCCAGGTCTTTGGATTTTATCAAGAAGCTCTAGATAAATACCATGATCACCAAAACCATTGCGAGGCAGCAATTATCTAAGTATGGACGAATGGTAGACTTATAGATACGTAAGATAGATTCTAGAGGTAATAAATGTCTAGCACTATAGAATGAATCAAATGTCTTACCAGCTGACTTAGCAATGGATTCAATATAGTTTTTCCACTTCATGTCAGCCGAGAAAGTTAGCCCAAGAAGTCGCAAAGAGTCATTCCCCTGGAGGTTAGCATTAACCATACTGATGGAAGGTAGAAAGAGGTTTCTTTATTAATACAGAACAGCTTAGTTTTGGACGAATTTAAATTAACAAGCCATTATTTGTCCCGGTTAACAACAGACTGAAGGTCGTTTTAGACATCAGCCGCCAATTTGACATTATCGAACCATTATAATTCCTATAAATGTGAATAAAGGTGTTTGTCTATGTTTACATGATTCTCCCTTTCTAAATACTTAACATTAGAAGTATAGCATTATGGGAAACCGAATCTTTAACTTCAATAAACAGGAAAATAACTTCATTGACTTTCCCTGAAAATGAGGATCTTGGTTTCATCTTGGCTTCATCATAAATTATCCATTATAAATGTCACACTTAGAAAAGGTTATCGAGTCATGGGCTACTCTGTATCCTCTCTGCAATTATCAGAAGCAAGATGGCAACTGATTATTATCGTCTGTTTTATTGAATTTTTCTTCCTTGTTTCCCATCCATTGCAAAGCTATTTTCTTTGCGACAGTTTGATTGTTATGGTGTTTTTGACGTTATATATAGACTGTGATAGATAGATAGATAGATAGATAGATAGATAGATAGATAGAGATAGATAGATAGATAAGGAATAGACTGAGATAGATAGATAGATAGATAGATAGATAGATAGATAGATAGATAAGGAATAGACTGAGATAGATAAATAAATAGATAAGGAATATAGATAGATAGATAGATAGATAGATAGATAGATAGATAGATAGATAGATAGATAGATAATGAATAGACTGAGATAGATAAATACATAGATAAGGAATATAGATAGATAGATAGATAGATAGATAGATAAGGAATAGACTGAGATAGATAAATAAATAGATAAGGAATATAGATAGATAGATAGATAGATAGATAGATAGATAGATAAGGAATAGACTAAAATAGATAGATAGATAGATAGATAGATAGATAGATAGATAAGGAATAGACTGAGATAGATAAATAAATAGATAAGGAATACAGATAGATAGATAGATAGATAGATAGATAGATAGATAGATGAGGAATAGACTGAGATAGATAGTTTTAACTTTTATATATATATATATATATATATATATATATATATATAGAGAGAGAGAGAGAGAGAGAGAGAGAGGGTGGGGAGAGAGTATGAGTGAAAATATTCGTGGTCGTTTATCCACTAACCTATCCGATACTCTTAAATCTATGCTTGTAGCATTTTGTAGCTAAGTAATATGACTGCCTTGTTGAAAATTTTAAAAAGTATTGATTTCTCTAGATTTATCTGATAAACGAAAATCAAAATCGACTTTTATTGATCGAAACACGATTTCAGCAAAACGTGTTTCTATCTAAGTTGACGAACTATTTTTTGATATCCTTCTCCCTTGAAATTATACGCACACGTCAGTCTCGGAAGACTATGAAGGGTATGATTGTATCTGGTGCTAATCCCTGATTCAGAACAGCAATGTTGTCTCTTCTAAACCCAGAGTACCAACTAATGGTTTATCTTCAAACTATACTGAATAAAGCATATATATAGTTTCTGGGAGATAAAGCATAAGGCGAATCATTAATTGAACATTCTAATTGTTATGGTCCGGTTCCTTGTACCACGGTGATAGTCCAAGGTAGAACCAATAAAGAACTCGAACACAGGTATGGAATAACACAGATATATTACAAACAGGAATATATACAGAGAAGTAGAAGTGTTAGTATGAACAATCAGGTTTAGTAGAGAGAACAATGTAGTCTCGACCAGTATCATTATTCCAATGTCTTGCAGTAATTGTCTGAACGCGACTCTGTTTCGGACTGCCTCTGACTCGACTCTTGACTCGACTCTTGACTCGACTTGAACTACTGACTCCTGTTAAGGCCGGTTAAACGTGGGATCTCCGAGCCCGTGGGATCTCCGAGCCCGTGGGATCTCCGAGCCTGTGGGATCTCCGAGCCCGTGGGCTCGGCCAAAAATGTGCCCATTGAACCCGTATAAACGGGTTCAGGGTCAGTTTACCTCCCCGAAAGAGAATCCGCCCTTCGGCATAGCCTCCTTCGGGTTCCTCCCCGCCCGAAGGCAGAGAGTTCAACCGAACAGCCGGTCAAGACTTGAACGACTGACTCGACTTGAACTACTGACTCCTTGAACGTACAACTCCTGCGGCGCATTATTTATTAAGTATGGAATAGTCCATTATTATTATTATGGGTAAGATCCTATAACACTTATACGCTCAAAACCTCGGCCAGGATGACTTATGACTTCGTGCTAGCACAATCAATATCCGAACAGTTTTCTGTATGTATCTCCACTTACAAGGCTCGGTTAAATTCGTGTTTATGATTTTCAATTAGTTTGCAATCTTGGCACATGTTTCGATTATATCTCAAGGGCGATATTATAACCTCCCTGATAATCTACCATATTGAGATTGAGCTTCAGGGTCGAAACATTAACATTCCAAACACGCTGCTGGGTTTATGTAACTAGGATATCAAGTCTATTCAATACTCCAGCACCTTCCACAGTATGCTAAATTGTCTTAGTAATGATGATGTTTAAATGGTTTTGTCTTTTTCTTAAATTTCCAATTATTCTAAACATCTCATTAATATTCTTGAGTAGAATCTGGAAGCTTTCACTGGGTATCAGGTCAGAGGAAGCACCCCCCAGTATTTCTGCAAATATTTGAGTATCCCAGTTGGTTTTAGTAATATCATACACTGTATTGTTGTTGTTGTTTGTTTATTATTATTATTATTATTATTATTAATCATAATAATAATAAATGGGCATGCGGCCGAGTGCTTATAACGTTCGCTTTCTGACAACAAGACCCGGGTTCAAATCTCAACATGGTCGATTTGGCAGGAAGATGACTTCTTGATATTATCGGTCTGCGGGAGGTGATCCCAGCGTACGGCTCCTTTGGAAAGTGCTCCAAGCCTTGTGACTGAGATTGAGTAGACGGAGCCTCTGGGAGCCGTCGGTGGTTGTGCTAACACGAAGTCACAAGTCATCGTGACCGAGGATTTGAGTGTGCTGATGTTCAGATTGTTGTTCATTCAAGATAACGCGCTCTCTCCTAAAAACTGTAACTAAGGTCTGCTCAGCATAGTTGCAGTATAAACAACCACAGGTGGGCTCTGTGGGTGTTGCACAAACACATATGTGCCTGATCAAGCGTCTGCTATGGGGATTAGCTGTCACACTTGGATACGAGTGACTGCGCCATTTACGTTTATTATTATTATTATTATTATTATTATTATTTATGGCATCATGACACTTTCCACTGACAAAAAAAAATTAAATTTCCATAGATAAAACCCTTCGTAAAGTGTGGGCTGTACTTGTCAGAACATTTGTTTGTATTTCTTTGGGGTATGGACTTCCAGGAATCCCTTCAGTTTGTCTACTGGAATCTTTTCCAACCAATCCTAGGGTTCCAACTACAACTGGGATTGTTGATGTTCAATGTGGCACATTTTTGAGATTTTCTATTTCAATGTTCTTGTATTTTGAATATCCTCAAATATAAATTGCAGTCAGCAGGGACTGCCAAATCAATAAGGAGGCACATTTTTTGTTTGTGGTCTTTAATAGCAATGTATTATTATTATTATTATTATTATTATTATTATTATTATTATTATTATATATTTCTTTTGATTTCTACTGTATACATATTTCTTACGTGTCGCAAGAAATGGCTTTATGGCGTTTTCCACTGATCATTTTTATAAAAATAAAACACACACACACTTTATATTGTGCCAACTGTATTTCCAAATACAATATTCTGTATTTCTTTAAGGCATGGGCTACTAGGAATGCCTTCAATGCGTCTATCGGAACCATAGTATTATTGTTTTTGCTGTTGTTTGCTATTATTATTATTATTATTATTTCTTTTGATTTCTGTTGTATACTCATTTCCTTCCGGGTCCCAACCAGAGATCTAAGGTCAGAAGAGAGATCATGGCATTTTAGAACCTAAGATTACACACATTTACATAGATAAAGCTCTTTGTGATGTGTGAGCAGTACTTGTGAGTACAATCTTTTTTTTTATTTCTAAAAGGCATGGGTTACCAAAAATCCATTGATTAAGTCTCCCGGACCTTTTTCTAATCAATCCGAGTGTTACAACTGGAATTATTGATTTTCATTACAAGATCCTTCATTCGAAGATCTTCGAATATGCATTACAATCTTTAGGCACTTTTCATTTGCACTGTCTTATTCCTTTAAATACCTGCATCTATATATATGAAAGTTATTGCTAAACTCAAATATTTCATGAGTCAACAGGGTATTTCATAGTTATGGAACATGTAAGAAGCTTTTTCACTCAGTCACTTCAGAATATATGAATAGGAAAGCCCCGACACATTCACGGGTCGGAGTGTTTGGTTTAGCAAAGTGAAAAATGGACACTAGAATGTGTTGGTGCATTTACCTTAGCAGAGGTAGAAATGGATACTCGAACGGGTATCGAACGTTAGCAAAGGGAGAAATGAATGATGTAACGGTTTGGGGTGTTTACCTTAACAAAGGGAGAAATGTATGCTAGAAAGGGTGGAGGCATTTACATTAGCAAAAGAAGAAATGGACGCTGGAAAGGGTGGTTGGGTTGCCTCATCAAAAGGAGAAATGGATTCTAGAACGGGTGCGTTTACCGTAGAAAATGGAGAAATGGACGCTGATCGGGTGGTGGGTATCGGTTGCCGTAACAAAGTAAAAATGGATGCTAGAACGGGTTGTGGCGTACCTTAGCGAAGGGAGAAATGGATGCTAGAAAAGGTTAAGTCACCAGATCCAATGTTGGAATTAATCCGGTTTTGGTGATTAGGCGTCTAATTATTGGTGGAAGAGTTTGTTCCAGTGACAGATTTTTCGAAACCAGACTGGTTCCTCTCTGAGGGATGCGGCCCTTGATTATCCGGGTCATTACCGGTCCAGTATGAGTTTTTGTTTGTAAACATTGAGATTTGTATTTTTTAGCGTTTCATCCTTAACCGCCAAGGGGTAATTTTGTTCAAGATACCACCTGTGTCAACGAAAACTAAAGAGCTCGTTCTGCCCATAAGACACGCCTGCTCCTCGCCAGATATAACCCCATTATTTCTAGGCTTCGGGGTGTTTTATTTATGCATTTATTATTATTATTATTATTATTTGATTTCATTTCATTTCTGGTGTGTACACATTTCATTCCAGGTCTCACTCAGAGACGTAAGGTTAGAAATGGCATCATGACATTTTCCACTGACTAAAAAAATATATATTTTCCATAGATAAACCCCTTCGTAAGGTTTGGGCTGTACTCGTGAGAAGAATATTTTGTATTCCTTTAAGGCATGGACTTCCAGGAATCCCTTCAATTCGTCTACTGGAATCTTTTTCAACCAATCCGAGGGCTCCAACTACAACAGGGATTGTTGATGTCCCCATGTGCCACATTTTTGAGATTTTGATTTCAAGTTAGAATTTGCGTGTACTGTCCCATGCAAGATAAGCATTTTCCAAGTTTTCCTAGCAGCATTTTCGATATGTGTACAGTTCAAGGTTGCAGTACTGTATCTAACTATCAGCTGATGTCCCGTCGCAGAGGCACCGTGCCTTGATAGAATATTGGTCCTTAAACTCACACCTGACCTCAATTTGAACAAGTATATACGAGCTATCACTAAAGATGCTGGCTACCTATATCTCTCCAGTAAGTACCTGACTCCACCTGCTATCGTCTACCTTTACAAGAGACAGATTAGGCCCGAAATGGCGTCGTCTTGACATATTTAGGCGGGAGCTGCACAGACCGCGACTCCGAGTCCTAGTGGGTGACGAATTATTTTCCACCCTCCAACCTCTCCCTCACAGGCGGGATGTGTCAAGCCGGCCAGTGCTTTATCGCTACTTCCATGGAAAGTGCTCGAACGAACTACATTATTTGGTTCCGTCAGTTCTAATATTCAAGGCAATGATCCACCATGCTGCTTACATTCTAACAAACCACCCACATTCCCTTTGTATATCACGGGTAAGAAGTCAGTTTCCTTTGAACAGCTTCTTCCTGAGAACCCTTGCTCGGTTGAACCGAATCCTAAGAGGTTTCCCCTGATCACTATAATCTTAACCTGTTCAAGTCTAGGGTTAACCGTTATCTTCCCCTTCTATCCGTAGAAATCACTTCTTAACGTAACCCTGTAACTCGAGTGATCCCCGGGCCTTGTACAGAGTTAACCTTACGGAAAGTGATCTGACGACGTACATTTCATCGTTCTGTCTAGTCTAACCTTCATGTCTATGACCCACTTACATTGTAGAAAACCACCCACAATTCCTCCGTATTCCATCGATGAGATGTAAGACGCTTCCCAGGTATTTAAATATCCGCGTCTGCTTGATTCTAGTGTTCCCGGCCTGCAAATTGTATTTCGGGCTCATCTTTTTACTGATTGCCATGCATTCTGTCTTCTTGTAGTTTATACTTAGTTCTTTCTTCTCGCTCTTCTTCGCTAGGAGATTTCGTAATTTCTTTTCCGTGTCTCCTATCAGTACGGTGTCATAAATTCCAAGAAGTGGGTTTCAGGATCTAAATTAAAATTCACAATTTTAAAAAATGTGAAAAGTAATGTCTTATCTTCTAGGCATACAGTTAAATGAAAAAATTATATTCACTAGTGCAGAATTTCTTTAGCTACAGTACTTTACAAAATTATGAAGATGAGGATTCAGTTCGGCTCCAGGAACGTAGATAATAAAAACGTCACATGTCAACCGACCAAAATACAGCGTTTCTGCAACGTTGCAATAACAAGACATTTTCTCCCGACCAAATTATAACTTCCATTGATGAGTTTGGATTGCATCCTCTCTCCTGTCGTCATAGTGCCGGCCGCTTTCCACGGCATGGCGCAATAAACGACATCATCAGAAGAGGTTTGGATGCAGCTGGGTTCTCTTCCCAAATCGAACCCGTAGGCCTTGACCATGGTGATAGAAAGCGGCCGGATGGCATTACACTTTTCGCTTTTAAAAAGGGGAAGTCGTTGGTTTGGGATGCAACTTGATCAGGTCCGCGGTTGAACCGGGGTCCATCGCCCGAGATGCAGAGATAAAATAAAAAAAAATAGTTAAATATTTTTCTCTTGTTGATAGATTTTTTTTTTTTTACTCCTGTGGCAGTGGAGACTTCTGGGGTATATTGGGCCTCGTTCGATGGCGTTCCTTTGGAGGATTGGCGCGATTGCGTTTCGATTAAGGGACGAGCCTCGCGAAACGGAGTGGGTCTTGCAGCGTGTCTCACTGGCAATGGTCCGAGGTAATGCATTCTCCAACATAGTGGCTGGCAGAGGATAGCAAAAAAAAAAAGTTTTGTTTATAGTTACTTTGTTCAAACTTTTTTCAATAAATAATTTTTCAGTTCTTAAAAATAAAAAGAGAAAAGAAAAAACCGGAAAAGAAAAAAATATAACTAATCTGTACGTCGCAAGATCATTCTCTGAGAATTATGGCAATTTACATTTCCATATGTTGTATTTACTAGTACAGTGTAACCCGGATATAAGAGACCCGGATATAAGAGAAACCCGGATAAAAGAGAGATTTTCTCTGGTCCCAAATTAGAGCCTGTGGTAATCTATATAAAATAGACCAAACCCGGATATAAGAGAAACCCGGATATAAGAGACTTCTTCTCCGGTCCCGACAACTCTCTTATATCCGGGTTACACTGTATAAGTTATAGTTTAATATTTATTTAATCCAACCACATGGACTTATTTATTAATCTGCATCATTCACATTTACTCTTGCTTATTAAAAAGTTTATGTCTTTTCGTTTTTTTCCAGATAGATAATTTTCCTGACCGGAGATAAAAAAAAAAAAAGGAACATCGTTGAATTAAGAGATTCACATCAATCATTTATTCAATGTTTGCTTCTAACAAATTTAGATTTTCTTACATGTTTTTTTTTGGTTTATTTTCTTTTGTTAATGCGTTGAATGATTCATAAAGAATATCGCCTTCCATGTCCTCTGGGATACGGGTGGGTGCTGAAAGATTGTCAGCTCGACCTACTTACCAAAATTAATATTTTAATGACTAAACACCATACACGTTTGTGAATTGGATCAGACCACGGAATTTTCATCACTTACTTATACATGTACGAATGTGGATCAATAAATTTGCAGCTTTGTACGCGCATTATACTAACATTTTCACTGTATAACGTCTGGATTCCCGGGAATTGAAAAGAACGGAGACTATCTATCTCTCTATCTCTATCTCTTTTTCTCTCTCTCTCTCTCTCTCTCTCTATATATATATATATATATATATATATATATATATATATATATATATATATATATATATATATATGAGATTATTGTAACTACATTTCTGGCGTTGTACGCGTCTCAAGTTGGAGTAATCCAAATGTGACCTTACCGAAACAGTTGTGTGTTCAATACCTAGTCACAGTAGAGGTGAACAAAAAATTTGCAGAGTTGAGATACTAAAAAGCAGTGAACTGAAACTGAGATATTCCGAAAAGGCAAGGCATGGCACGCGGAACTAGAACAATATACTCCATGGACTAAATAAAGTGTTCCGTTCGAAATTTAACGGATAGAACCTGAAAAAAGCCGAATGGACAACGGCCGAAACGCTCTGAATATGACATATATATGTATATATACATACATACATATATATATATATATATATATATATATATATATATATATATATATATATAACTATTTATCAACTGGTTTCAACCATATGGCCACAGACAATATCGGAATTTTCTGCAACTCTTCTGGGCGTTCTTTTTATTTAAGGTGGTGAATGCTGCCATAATCCTTTGGTGTTACAAGGGGGTTGATGGTTTGTCGCTCAACTGCGCCCCACGCATAATAATCAAGGGGGGGTTGCGGTCTGCGAAGTTAGTTGGACAGATATAAGGAGTGATACGGTCGCAGAAATTGTCTGACAGCCATGACTCTGTTCTCCTTCTTGTGTTACATAGTGCAGAATCCTGTTGCCAAATATAGGGTCTTCTAGCAACCAACCTCTTGACACAGGGCAGCACTACCTACTCAAGGCACTTGATGTAGGCCTCTGCGTTGAATCTGAGGCCTTGTGGGAAGACAAATGGAGGCCTAACATCGCCATTACTAGCGATCACACCAAACACCATAATCCAAATCTTTTGGTATCATCTGCACTATCACCCAAACACTCCGAAATGTTCGTATTGGAGCTTCCGGCGCGAATGCCAAGCAGTACAGCATGCCGTTTCCAAATTTTTATTTTTTTTCGCAGACCTTACCCAAGTGACCTTACTATATTGGGCATACAACAAAATTAAAAACAAACAACGCGCATGCGCAAAATTAAAAATAAAATAAAATGGCGACAATTTACCCATCGCACCATACACACACACACACACACACACACACACACACACATATATATATATATATATATATATATATATATATGGGTGTGTAGGGTGTGAGAGGTGTGGGGGTGGTGGTGTTTGTAGGACAATGAAGATGAAAAAATGTTAAAATTTTGTAACATGTTTCGCCGAGATCGTTTGCTCTCTTTGAATGAGAGAAAGACAAAACTGTATGCGAGGAAAATGACTTGTGGTCTGTAAGGATAAGTGAGAACATAAATCAAATTAAATTACATTAACTTATCTCCTCCAATGTCCTGACTGAAGAGAGTGTCTGTCTACCTGTTTATTTGTTTCTTTTATCTATATCTATATTAGCGTATTTAACATATATATATATATATATATATATATATATATATATATATATATATATATTTAACACACATACACATACACACTCTCTCTCTCTCTCTCTCTCTCACACACACACACACACACACACACACACATTATATATATATATATATATATATATATATATATATAATGCAATTCTTCCGTGGGTTTCTACGTCTGAAGATCTGACAACTTAACCAATTGATTCAGTTATGAATTTTGTGCGATAATCTTAAGTGACACTTAAGACCCGCTAGTAATTTACAAAGGAGGCGGAATATGGAGCAATAATGAGGATTGTGGGAAGAGATCACTGTTAAATTAGCTGACCTTTTAGATCTTGCTCTCGCTTCTTGAAGACGATTCAGACTAGCAGATTTAAGAGTCCACTAAAACACGTTGATCTCCACTCTACCCGCTGCAAGGCTAAGCTCTCGAAGTATAATGACAGATGACAAGTAGCTCTTCAGCTTGTCTTTGTATCTAAACCATGGGCGTCCTACATTCCTATATGTATTGAATTGGTCAAATGTTAGTAGTGTGTTTCAATATGTGACATTTGTACACGCGATTGGGTTTCAAATTTGAGTGAAATTTAGCATATATATGCATATTCCAGAAGGTGTCATTTCATTACGTCTTTCCATGTGATTCCTGTGTTGATTATGGATTTTATATACCAGTACGTCAAAAGTGAGAAAATGGAGGAAAATGAAGTGAATTCTCTTCATTTGATGCTCTTTAATTTATGAAAAAGAGAAACGCTCTCTACAAACAGCAAAAAAGATATGTGCTTTTTATGGAGTAGGTGCTATAGCTTAGGGTACTATTCATAAGTAGTTCAGTAACGTCAGAAATGGAAATCTTCAACCTCTTTTATGTTCAATTTTCTTATCTTCTATGCTAAAGTTGTTGTAATTGTAGCCACTTCTCCTACTAACGTTGGCGCAGCTAAATCATTCTTGCTTTAATATTCGTTCAAGAACGTACCAGAAGACTTCACCAGTCATAATGCACAGGGTGGTCTGAAAGTCTTGTCACCGTCTACAAAAAATTAATAAGAACAGTATATGAACAAGTAATACAAAGCACATTTAATTTATTCAGTTTCATTGATGTTGTCACATATCGAGAAGGTCTGTATGAACATTCATCATTTTCGTGGCACAAAAGGATGCGGCACCATGTACTTTGTGATATTTACGAAGCTGTGCTTTGTTGATTGTTGTAAAGGCTCTCCAAACGGCGTCCTTCAACTGATGGGTATTCTGGTATCGTCCATACACTTGCAAACAGCCTCGCTTCCAAACTGTAGAAGCATTAGTCAACCATGTGAAATTGAAAATTATATTATGTAGCGGGGACAAACCTTTTATTTTTGGAAAATTTGAATTTAAAATTTTTTGATTTTATTTTTTAAATTTTTGTTTCTTTATTGTTATTTTTTCACTTTATTATGCCTTAAAATCCGTCCTGATGGTGTGTCGGCTTGACGTGGTAGGACAGCTTGCGTGCTTCAAAAAACCACCAGATCTATGTGGGCGGAGGCCATCCAAGCCCGGAGGTCTGTCAGGTAGGAGCTAGACGAAAGACACACCCTGGTTTTACAGGTAGTGTGTTGTGCAGTAGGCTAACAATCTAATCGCTTAAAAACTAGCTCATTACAGAGACCACAACGATATCTTAAAAAAAAACAATATGGCCGAGGAAGAGTCCTTCAAATTGGAGCGTATGACGTGTGCTGAGCGAGACATGGGCCGAGCTGGAAAGGGTCGCCTTAACCCACGTCCGTTGAAGAGGTGTTGTTGCGGCGCTATGTTCCCCAAGAAATTAAGAAACATAATAAATAAATTCATCCTAATTTTGCATTTTTCCTTACATTCTGTTTTAAATTATCTCTTTATATTTGCCTGAGCTCGTCTACCCGTGCTTGTATACATGTATATCATGATACATCACAGAAGTTCATCATCAAAGACGACACCTCATTTTGTTTACATAGTAAAGAATTTTTCCCGCAGTAGGTTGCCATTTCTTTCATTTCTGTAGTAGACCAGTTGCCATCTAAGGCTATAGAACCCGGTCTGACCTGCTATTTACCCATAGCTAGGGGGTGAAGAAGAGGATTCATACCTTTTCCAAGGGTATTAACACGTGTGAATTTCAGTCAGTTATGTGCCATCCGTGCTACACGCTTAGACGATCATATGTTTTACGATAGATTACTGGCGAGGCAGATTTTTTCCCGCAGTAGTTTGCCATTTCTTTCTGTCGTAGACCAGTTGCCATCTAAGGCTATAGAACCCGGTCTGTCCTGCTATTTACCCATAGATGAAGGGAGAAGAAGAAGATTCATACCTACCCCAAAGGTATTAGCACGTAAGTGAATGTAATGGATTCGACTGGAATTTGAACTCGGCTCTCCGATTCCTCAGTCTGTGTTACTTGATTTATTTCTTACCTCATCTCCTCGCTCTTGCCAAGTTTCGTAACACTACCCTCTTAGAAACTCAGACCACTTGGTAGTAGCTATTAATATTTCATTCCAATGATCTATTAAACAGGAACCCCGTATTTATAAGACCTCTTTCCGTTATAAGGATGTTGATTGAGACTCAATCCGTGATTTTCTTCATGACGACCCCTGATCTGACATCTTTAACCTCCCAATTGGAAATTGCGCCACTGAGGGCTCTATCCTTGGTCCTACTCTGTTGTTAATTTTCATTAATTAATGACTAATTACATTAGCTCTCCATTTGGCATTTACGCTGATATCACTACCATTTAATCCTACTGTGATATTCGGGCTGGTCAGGTCAAAATGGCAGCTGATGTCCAAAATGACGTCGTTAACTAGAGCAAAAATATGGCTAGTTAATTTTAACGCCTCGAAACTTAAACTTATCTCTATTAATCATCTGAGAGACCCCTGGCTGCCTTCCATCAGTATGACTTGTTGTTTCTCGGACTCATGGTCTCTGCTGACAAGAAGTAGAAAAACTATATTTCCTGCTCAGTTGCTAAGAAAGTTGGTTCATTGTGACGTGCGAGACAATTTTTCTCTCCAGAATCTATCTTACTTATCTATAAATCTACCATCCATCCATGCTTAGAATATTGCTACCACATATGGTCTGGTACCACTGATACTTACCTTGAGCTCCTCGATAAAATCCAAAAAAGAGTCAGCAATATTATTGGTCCTGATCAGGCATCTCAGCTTCAGTCACTTTCCCACTGCCGTAAGGTTGCTTCCCTGTTCTTTTTCTATAAATACTCGCATGGTAACTGTTTAGATGAGTTCTTCATTATGGCACCTAGACTTTTTTAAATTTTAGCGCACTATTGAATTTGTGTCGAGATCTTATGAATTTACAGTTGCGCTGGCTAGATTTAAGTGTAAGTTCTATGCTAACAATTTCGTTTCCCGCACTTCTCGCTTGTGGAACTCCCTTCCAACTCCATGCTTTCCAGCCAATTTTAATCTGCAAAATTTTAGATACAATATCAGTCGCTATCTACTGTCCTCCTGATTACTCTTTTCTCTTCCCCGCTCATTATAAATGTTTCTGTTCCTAATTCTTCCTTGTGTTTTAGTGGCTTTACTTGCTTCCATTTAATGACAACGATTTAAAAAAACACAACAAGACTGATACCTAGGCAGATATATTCGAAGTGTTTAACATTTATCAATTCCAGACACTAATTTTTCAGTTATAGTATGTACCATCATTGTTATCAATCCAATTCCAGATCATAGTCTTCAGACCATATTTTCCAGATTGTATTTTCCAGACCATAATTTCCATATCATTGTTCCAGAAAAAAAATTTCTCTATCTTATGTTATAGATAGTAAATTTACGACCATATTTTTCAGACCCCAATTTCTGAATTATAATTTTACAGACCACAATTTCCAAAAGATAGTTTCTAAATCATAGTATCCAGATTATAATTTCAGTCCAAAATTTCCATATCATAGTTTATAGATTGTAATTTTCAGTCCGTAGTTTCCAGACCATAATTTCCAAATCATAGTTTCTAGAGAATAGTTTCCAGATCACAGTTTCCAGATTATAATATCCAAATCATAGTTTCCAGATCATAGTTCTAGGCCAAAATTTCCATATCATAGTTTCCATATTATAGTTTCCAGATTATAGTTTCTGGACTATAATTTGCAAATCAGTTTCCAGATCATACTTTCCAGACCATAACTTCCAGATCATAATATCCAGATCATAATATCCAGATCATAATATCCAGATCATAATTTCAGTCCAAAATTATCATATCATAGTTTATAGGTCGTAATTTTCAGTGCATAGTTTCCAGACCATGATTTCCAAATCATAGTTTCCTCAGAATAGTTTCCAGGCCATGGTATTCAAATCATATTTTCCAGGCCATAGTTTCCAGATCATATTTTCCAGATCCTAATTTCCAGTTCATATCCAAATCATAATTCTAGTTCAAAATTTCCATGCCTCAATTTCCAGATGATAGTTTTCAAACTATAGTATCAAGACTACAATTTAGAAATTATAGTTTCCAGTTTGTAGTTACCTGATCATAGTTCAGAGCATAATTTCGAAATCATCCTTTTCAGATCTTAGTTTTCAAACCATAGTTTCTTATCGAATGAGCTAAATATGTACTTTTATTCCGGAATTAATTTAATAATTTCGGTTATGCAAATTTGGTTGAAAACGAATTTAAATTTTTTATTGAATTTTTTTTTTAATTTAATTTTTATACTGTGAGGAATATTTTTCTTATTTCTACAACAATCGACTCATAAATGCCAAAATCATTGCGAAGACACTGGATAATTTATGGTCTGAACCGCAAAATAAAATTATTAAATAAAATTTTAAACGAAGAACTCTAATTGACTTTCAAACAAACCTGCATCGAGTCCATGCGTCTAGATTGTTAGTCTTCCGACTTTAAGGTCCTATGAAAATGCTTGAAAACCATGGCACAAGTCGGTCTACTCCTTGGGAATTATCTTTTCAAGAAGATTGGAAAATGAAGCAGAAGAAACTATTCGGAATAGGGGTTGGGCTAACACAAAGTACAAAGTCATCGTGACTGAGGGTCTGAGAGTACAAATCTACCTCAATTTAATACCGAAAAGATTTTTATTGTTGGTTTGTATTTTTTTTTTCAAAAAGTATTTCTGGTAACATTTTTCTCAACAATGTATTGCCGGTAATTTTTTTTTTTCAAAAATATATTGCTGGCAATAATTTTCCAAGAATGTATTGCTTGTACTAAAACCTATTATTACAGTTTCATAGTGTTTTGACCAGAGTTTGGGGGTTAACTATTTACCCATAGCTGGGTCAGGGTGTACCTGGGAACACCTGGAATTAAGTAGTCGTTACACGCTTCTCAGAACCTCCTGATTAGAGGCCTTGATGTTTTATTGTAGCGTATCGTCTTTCTCAGGAACCGGTATGTTGTTTTCTTCAACTTGCACACATATCTTCCAGGAAGTGGTTCGAAAATCCAAAGAAGTTGTGGACGATCAATATTTTTAAGAAGTAGATCATATGAACCACACTTCGTTTTCAATGTTTGGTAATAAAGATACGACAGATCAATTAATTTTCTCTATTTTATTCTATTTCATTGATTTATATAAATTTTAATACATTTTTCCGACGCGTAAATTTGACTATTTATTAACTTTTTGTTTGCGTTGCACACGATCAATTTGGAAGGAACCAAAGTGAGAAAGACTGCTAATTTTTCATACCAGAAAATGTCTATCTTTCAAAATTAACATTAAAATTCCTGCCTCCCAAGCTGTCTTCTCACCGTTCCGCCAATTTTTAAAGTCACTGAATACTCGTAAGGTAGACACAAATATCTCTACAGACAAATCGTTTGTTTTCAATTTCTTAATGAATTGGCGTTCTGGTTAAGACGATAAACTACGTCCGACAGCAAGGCCTCTGATCAGGAAGTTTTGGGGAGGGTGGAACGACCTCCTAATTGCTGGTGTTCCCAGGTTCATCCTGGACTGGGGTGGTAGCTCCTGTTAGGGTCATAGATATGGACAAATAGTTAACCGCCAATTCTGGGATTAAAACACTATGAAAGTGTAAAAATAGGTTTCAATACCAGTAATATATTTTTGTAAAAAGCTTATTACCAACAATGAATTTTAGAAGAAAAAAATATTACCAGCAATACATTTTTGAAAAATGTATTATCAGCAGTAAAAAACTTGTCGGCAATAAATAACTCACTGCGGCTGATATGCTGTAAAACAAAATAAAACGAAACAAAAAAATTAATGAATTTTAGTTCTTTCTTTTCTTTTCTTTTTCGTTCTATTTCCGTTTTTTTCTGTCTTTCATTTCTTTTTTTTGTTCGCCATTTACTCTTTTCTTTTTTTCTTTCTGTCTGACATTTTTGTTTATTTTCTCTACCTTCTTTTTCTACTTTTTTGTTTTTTCTCTTTTTACTTTTCTTCTTTCGTTCTTTCTTTTTTTTTACTTCTTTTCCTTTTCTTTCGTTTTACCTTCGTGCATTTCCTTTCTTGTTTTGTATTTTCTTCTTTATTCTTTTCGTCCTCCCTTTTTTATTATTTTTGTTCTCTCTTTAGCTTTCTTTTAATCCTTTCATTTTTTCGTTCGTTTTTTGTCCCTTTCCTCTTCCTTCTTTTTCCCCCTTTCTGCTTTTATTCTTTCTTTCTCCTTTTTGTTACATATTTTGTTATTACTTTTTTTTATCCTCCCTTGCTTTTTTTCTTTCTTTCTTTTTTGTTCCTTTCCTATTTTTTATGTTTGTGATTCATTTTTTGCTTTTGTTCTAACTTTCTATTTTTTCTTTCTTTGTTTCTCTCTCTCTCTCTCTCTCTCTCTCTCTCTCTCTCTCGTATCATTTTTATTTCTTCTTTTTCTGCTATTTTTTTCTTTCTTCTTCTTTTCTTTTGATAATTCATTAAATTGTTCTCTATTTTTTTTTCTGAAACTATTAAAAGGCAAAAAAGAAAAATAAGTCCTAAATTCATTTTATTTCTATTGTTCGTTTATTTTCTCCTGGATAAGGCCTAATCTAAGTCAGTAATTGTTTGCGCTTCCGGCCTTCCATATATTTCCCCGATTATCTCGTGTCACTCGAGAAGCAAGGTCATTACAGAAACACAATAATTTTGAATTCAAGCGCCCGGATATACACATACAAATATACAATTACAGAACCAAACTCACACATATATACATGCACATATGTGCACAATTCGGTCTATGCAATCTCTCTCTCTCTCCCCTCTCTCTCTCTCTCTCTCTCTCTATCTATCTATCTATCTCCCTGCCTCTTGTTGTTAACACGTGAGTAGATGAAATCGCGGGAACGTCATATAATATATCCATAAAAGCGCCTGTCATAGAGCAATTGTTTGGAATAAAGTTTTAATCTACATTATATACTCGATAGGAAGACGTTGTATCAGACTAAATAAAATAAACTATAATTTTTAGGTTGCTCACTTTCTTGACCTTGAGCCAGACTACTATATCCGAGGTTAAGCCAACCAATATTGACCAAGTTCTCCACTCAGTACTGACCCCCTAGTCAGCCTAGATTACGCTATTTCTTCAGAGTAATACGATACATCTAAAAGGGGACCCCTACCGGGTATATACTTGGAGATTCAAGTATGAGCCTGGCCATTTGTTTTTACTTATTGACTCGTGTATAAAGACGACCATTGTTTACCTATAGACTCAATTATAAATACGAGTTCTCAGTGTAATATTTTAATTCATTCAAATCGAATGCACTTTAAATTTATTTGTTAAAACATACAGTACATCCTCGAATAAAGGCTTAGTTTCCTAATTTATAAATTGGGCCTTTATGAGAGATCCATATTCGAGTGGAGGAGGCGCTTATCAAAAATCCACTCAAATGTGAAGTAATTCGAACACCTATCTTTTATAACTTGTAATGATTCTGTTTACTTTTGAAAATTATAAAATCAAAACAACTCCGTTTCAAAGAAGAGTGACGAGACATTTTTTTTTTTTTTTTACGGAGAGCTAAGATTTAATCAGAATATATTATTTTTCCTAAATACTTGCCGCAAAAACACGCGACGGACACATACACTTACAAACTGGACAGTAGACAGGAAACAAAGTCGAAAACATTCTCTGAAATTTAAAATAATATCAATCGTTCAAAATTTCATGTAAAATTGATTCTGTGAATAATGTCAAATGAAATTTAAGAAATACAAAATTGGGAGCACAATTTTATTTTCTAATAAGTTGTTATAACATAGAATAAAAATAGAGGAGATTTTTATTGTTTTATTTACAATCTGGAATACAAATTTACATAACCGATTTCCTATATACTTTGAAAGAGTTAGATCAAAATGTAACCGTGAACTTTTAATTTGTCCGGCCCTTGTAAGTTGATGTAAGCACATCTAATGCACATTTAGTGAGAGGCGGTTATATGAAATTAAAAATGCATACTTCCCGTCATATCCGGTTTTATTCAAAGGAGGCGCGTACTTAAAAATGATCTTTTCAGTGGCTTGCTAATTCAAGAAAGACGTTTATTCGCGAGAGGGCATTATTCGATTAATTACCATAAATATTATAATTAGCAATAAGAGAAAAGAGATCGTGAAATTAATTATATCTTCTTGCCAAATCGGTGAACCTGGTCGAAAATAATTCTGATACTACTACAATGATCTCTTCTCTGCTTTTAATGAATTATTTACATTATTTACATTCGGGACTATTCCCAAACGTGTGCGACCTTAAAAGAATAATGATCCACATTTTTTAAAAAGAAAGAAAGTTGTCTGTTACTTGTTTAAGCCCCAGGCTTGGATTTTGTTTACATTATACTATCTGTTCAAAACCTGTGCATGTTCTTGCAGATTATTCTAGACAAAGATGAATTTTGAATTTTTTTGATTCCTAATCTGAGTGTTTGTTTATGTTGATCGCATAATAACGCAATTAAAAATACCTAGGAAGATTATTGAGAAAGGGCGCCGCATAGTTAATTAGCAAACTCTCCTAAGATTAAGACGTTCGGAGAGGAATGAGAAATTAAATGTTTGCCAATATGAAGGGGTCGCCTACATAAGCAAGAATCCTCCCAGACATAGGGACAGTCAAAGACTTTGGTTGGAAGTGTCCCGGATTCGCTAGTAAGAGTATCATCGTTAAAGAACACACTCCCAATTCCCGGAGCCGTAGTGAAAACACATACAGACACATAACGGAATAATTGAGTGAGAATGGACAGGTTGGTTGGTTATTACTTTAGTATTTACGACTAGATTATCCAAAACCCATCCTGCAGTACTGAACTTTATTTTGCAGTAAATAACAGAGACATTTTGTCCAACCAGATTTTCTTTATATTTAATAAACATATTGTCAGGGTTATCAACAAAATTGTGCGTTTTATTGAAGGAGTTCGTATTCTAGACTGATTTCGATGTGCGCTTGGACACAAATAGAGGTAAGTTACCACGACCACAAACAGGAAAATTACGATATCTGGTCTGTGGTACATAACGTACACTGTTGTCCGCATTGGACTTAAAGGTCAAAAACCGGAAACAACCCTAAGAAGGTGATTCACATGCGCAAATCAGGGAGAGAAAATAATGCCAGATGACTCCTAAGGCCGGTATAACTCAACAACGCTAGCAGAGCTAGAAGGTGAGAGGAAGAAGAGAAGGAAAGATTGACAGGATTGTGATCGGGGTACAGTAATTGTGAGTTCCATCCCTGTGCCAAACAGGCCGAACAAAAAATTGAATAACAATAATGACAAGGTTTCCCAAAACATGGACATAAAAATAATAATTTAAGGTCAAAATTCCTTGAAGATAGACAACTGGGGAGAACCAGAAGACACAAACACCGAAAAGTTGGGATAGCAACAACAAATCTGAAGAAAATAGTCAGGGCGTAAATAATATAAAAACATAATAATTCGTTATGTTTGAAATTCGGCCAGAAATTTTAATGTATTTGATACCAATACAGGATTTCTAATGGTCTCCAAAAATAAGTTTCAATTTACTAAATCTATTGAATATTAAATGCAAGTTCTATCCGTTATAACGGAAGGTTGCTATAGAAGAAAGATTTATTATTCCATCTCAGTTTCCCCCGTTATGGGTATTATTATATCGGTGGTGTAATGACACCGTACTTCATGGCCGAAACGGAATAGCTGAATGGAAAACGAATGATAACCATTCTTTGTTCTCAGAGAGCATTTATTATAATGCTACGCTATATACAATATATATATATATATATATATATATATATATATATATATATATATATATGTACAATTGTCCGCTGCAGAGAAACTATAAAAATATATGCAACAACAAGCGCTGTGTAATAAAGGCGAAGTTTGTAACTTCGTCACTCTATCCCGTGACATTATTCACCAGCCGTCACGCGTCCTGGGTAAAACGATAAACTCCATCCGCGTTCTAAGTAAGACGATAAACTACGTCCAACAGCAAGGCCTCTGATCAGGAGATTTTGAGGAGCGTGGAACCACCTCTTAATTGCTGGTGTTCCCAGGTCCACCCTGACCCGGGGTTGTAGCACCTGTTCGGATTCTAGTTATGGGCAAACAGTTAACCCTGAAACTGCGGTAAAAAGCATTCCAAGGGCGTAAAAATAGGTTTTAATAACAGAGATACTTTGTAAAAGAATTGTTACCAGAAATAATTTTTTGGAGAAAAAAATCTATTACTAGCAATATATTTTTTTTTAAATATTACCAGCGATACATGTTTTAAAATAATATTACCAGCTAAACATTTTTGAGGAAAAATATTACCAGAAATAGATTTTTGACAAAACAAAATATTACCAGGAAAAAAAGGTTGTCGGCATTGAATAACCCAATGAATTTGATATTCCGTAAAACACAACAAACCAAACCAATCCAGCCGTCACATGGTGATTTTCCAAGCGTAGCTCAGATGTGGCACAAGGCCGAAAGTATGGGGCACCCAGTGAGGATCGAACTCACTACTCAGTCGTAATTGTTCTAGCGAGCCAAGCGTGCTAACGGAAGGGAGACAATCGCCTTTTATATCCTTACATTTATAAGATTATTATCTTAATGGGTGTAATCTTGTTATGGAGTATATCTTTTCTGTTACCTCACCTAATATATTGCAGTTTTGGCGTAAATCTTCAGTTTATCACATTCCTAGCTGCTGCTGCTGCAGGTCGATCCACCTCCCACACATTTTTTGATATGAAGAAGTCTTAGGCGAAGATGGTTGAAACGTTTTCGCCATGTATATGATGTCGATGGGTTCCTGCAATTCAGGTGACGGAGTACAAATCGATTTGCTTATGTGCAGGGGTCAGGGGACGATGTTTGGTGACTTCATCTTCCTGTCACATTCAGACTTTTTTTTTTTTTTTTTTTTTACCTCATAGACATTCAAGACAGAATTGTGGAGAAATATTGGAAAATAACTGAATTCCTTGGTCGAGTTTCTTCCGGAAAAGGCAATCTGGTTTTGTTCAACTGTCATATTTCTTTGCAGTGAGTGGGAGTGAGATGTGGGTACTTCTTAATTTATTCAATCTTAACAGCTTAAACCAGGTAAGTCCTGTTGAATCAGGAGTTCATACTCCGACCATTCAAGGAGCTACTCCTATTTACTTCAATTTTATGGTTGGAAAGAAATTCCTGTCGCATTATTGAAATTTTATTTATCATTTCCCCCCAAACAAGGCAATAGAACCACTAGGACGCAAGCGATCACTGAATGTTAGAGAACATAAGAAAAACTACTATCAAGGAAAGAGAACAATGAAAGAAAAAAATAAGAAGATAACGATTGACATTACATTTAAAGTTTTGAAAATCAAAGTTAACTGGGAAACAAGAAGCCGGGTGGGATTTCCATAACAGAGAAGTATGAGAGAAGAAACTATTAGCATAGAAGTTACGGTTCTATCTAGCCAATTCAACTCTAAAATAATGAGAACTGGCCACAAATCTAATACTGTGTTTAAATTAAGTTTAGCTACCATAGCGAAAAGTTCATCAGAACAATTACCATGAAAATATTTGTAGAAGAGACACATAGAAGCTACCTTACCGCGGTGAGAAAGCCTAGATGCCAGGTCAAGTCAAAAAAACATTGCAAATTCTGCTTTGGATTTTATCAAAAATCTCTAAATATTAATCAGAGACACCAGACCAGATGTGGCAGCAATATTCAAAGCAAGGACGAAGGGTAGATTTAGAAATATTATTTTTCTATACTGACGCTAAAATAACCATTAATTTTTACGTTCTGATATATTTTCGTAATTTAAAGAGTACTTAATATCAGATTGCGTAATTTTTTATCAATTTTTTTCTCTTTTAAGATGAGGAGAACCTTGGCAAATACCGTCCTTCTTTGAACAGCGTGGACTGGCGATACACATTCAAAAACAAAAAATACTATACCAAATAAAAAAAAATTACTAGCGGACTACCAAAAGCAGCAACAACTCAAATGGATAGCACATTAACTCGAACAGAATGCTATATATTCCTATTTATATTATCTAGGTGTTATCTATTAGATAAAATATTGCTATTTAAATCACCTATGCATTATCTATTAAATTACTTATCCGTATTTAAATTACCTATGTATTTCTTCTAAGCATTTAGTCTCATATATACAAAGAACTGTACCAAATAATAGAAGTCCAACATCAGCAACGACGAAAATGGATAGCACAGTCGAACAGAAAATAATGCCATAATGAAGATGTTGATATTCCACACTACTTCAAATAAAAGGCTAGGAAAGAAAATCCCTATCAATGTTGGAAAGAGCGATAACAGCTACTGGACATGAGAAACGTATTGTCCTGAGAAATTATTTTACGAGAAATATTTCGTAAATTTCAACCGAAAGCATTACTGAATGTTTGGTCAATGAACGCCAAATATTACCGTTACCATTTTAGGAAAAACAGACCCAGTGAATAAATTTATACCAAAGCTTTATTGCACTTTACTCTGACTAATGTTCTACTGCCGGATTAGACAGGGTGCTTTTTATACCTCCTAGATCTTAAGGAGAGGTAACTGATGAGTTATCAGTACAACCGGATATGAGGGGTTCCGGATATGAGGGGTTCCGGATATGAGGGATTCCGGATATGAGGAATTGGTTACAAAGTCCGGATACGAGGGATTCCGGATATGAGGAATTGGTTACAAAGTCTGGATACGAGGGATTCCGGATATGAGGAATTGGTTACAAAGTCTGGATATGAGGGATTCCGAATATGAGGAATTGGTTACAAAGTCCAGATATGATGGGTTATATTTAGATTAAAATAAAAGAACTGAAATCAGGTTTAACATTTATTTTCAATGTTTTATAGTAAACAAAATAAGCTAATGGTGAGTGAAATATAACGGAAATGATTTTAAGAAAAAAGAAATAAATTATGTAATGTTAAAGAAAATTTATTAAAACAAGTATGGCACGTATGCAAAACAAATAATGTAACGAAGATTTTTTAATCGCTGTTGCATGATGATTCTTTCTCTTCTAATATCATTCTCAACTTTTTCCGCATTTCGTTTTGCTTTTGTTCTTGAAATTTTTTAAACGAAAGACACTTTTTTTTAAAACTCTGCATGTGTTATTGCAATCGTCATAGTTGAATGCTGGACTTCTTTCCATAAAACTGATAACATTCGACAAGGAGGTGGGGACAAATTATATCTTTTCTCCTTGTAGAAAAAAGTTTGTATAAGAAGTTGAACAATTTCTTGTAGCAATACTTTTCCAAGGTCCACTCGAGTTGTCGAAAAAAAATATCTCTTTTATATTATTTTTGTTACAAAAAGGATTTGGTAATCCCAACTACGCAGGAGTGAAGAAGGCAATAAATAAATAAATAAATAAACAAAAACTAGACCCATCGTCCTTCCCTGTCGAAAGCAAAAAAATATATAAACCAAGCCAGCTTTCAAGTTGTCAAGAAATTCCCGCCAACGTGAAAACTCAAACAGAAAAAATAAATCATGGATAGAAAATATCCGACTGCTATTTTGATAATTTTACAAAGTCTCCCCCATCCCAAAGAAGGGAAGAGCTCTTTTCAATAAAAGAGAAATCAATCAGCAAATATGAAAGAAAATTTCTTTCATAATCGAAATTAATTGTGAAATCTAGCGAAAGTCACCGTGAAATAAATATAATTGTTTGTACGGAGAGTAAGGACCTACGTACATGAAATTGTTTTTAAATTAAGTGGTGATAGAAGAATTGTCGTTAAGCTTTTAAAAGATAAAGTTAAATATTAATGCAATACTTAAATGCAGTGATCAGTTTTGAGTTCTGTAGTTTATTGTTGCCTATCGCATCTACATCTCCCTAGATATTGTGATGAAGGGTCAATCAAGCGCCTTCTGTAGGAGCTAGCTTAAATGCCCCCGATAGGGCGGCTTTTGATCTAGTATACTAATATCTTCCTGAAACGTTAACAGGCAAAGTATTAGCAAGCTTAAAGGGTACAGGAGTTCACCAGGGATCTATGCTGTACCAAATTTTCATCATCGACCTTCCTGATGGCATCAGCTCTCAACTTGATATCTATGCTAATGGCATAACTATTTATTCCTATCCTAACAGTAAGTCGGATCAATTCGAGAAGCTCAATTTGGCAGCTAGACTCAAAATTCCCCTACAATCTGTTGTTAACTGGAACAAGAAATGGATTTTTTTTATTTTAACGCCTGCAAAACGAAACCACTCTCTTTTAATTGTCTGCGACAACCAGCTTTTAATTCCAATCATAATGGCTGATGCTAACCTCTAGCAATGTGACTTCTTGCAACTTCTTGGGCTAACATTTTCCGCTGAAGGGGAAAGATTATATTGAATCAATTGCTAGGTCTTCTGTTCGCTGTCTTGTCTGAGACATTTTTTTTTGCTATACCTATTTATAAGTCTACTATTCCTCCTTGATTTGAATATTTCTGCTACATCTGGCCTAGTACTTCTGCTATGAATTTAGAGATTCTTCATAAAATACAATGAAGAATTGATCCTGACCTGCCATTTCGGCCTCAGCCGTAGCATAGCTTCTCTGTATTTTTCTACAAATATTTTCACGGTAATTTTCCTTATCAGTTTTCTTCTTTGGTACCTAGAATAAACGCGCAGTACTAGATTGTCGACAAAGTTTCATCATTTTACCGTTGCATGGCTAAATGTAACCGTAAGTTCTATGCTAACAGTTTCTTTTCTAGTACTTCTCACTTGTGGAACTTTCTTCCGGCTTTTTGCTTTCCAGTCAGTTTTGATCCTAATTAATATAAAGGCAATGTCAATCGTTATCTTCATTTTTAAATTCTTCTTCCTTTATTGTTCTCTCTCTTTAATAACTTTTTTTTATAATGCTCTCTAGCATTCAGTAACTCCTCGCGTCTTAGTGCCTTTATCATCCCCAACTAATCCCTACTAGAAAAATGCCAATGGTGATAAACCTGCTGGGCCAAAGTTAAATCAGGTTTTGAATTCTGTTATATTTTGATACAACCATTCTATATCTTCCTAAATTATCAGTTAAGGCTTTTTTGGTTGAGTCTGGCGATATGTGACAGAAGGATGAAATCAAAACAACTTCTTTTGATTCTGCTAATATTCACATATTAAAATAGACTTGTAACTTGACACCTGAAAGAACCGTATTCCCCATAAATAATGAAACTCACCTGTGATAAATCAGTCTTCCACAAATGTATCGGACAGACATCAATAATTACCTCAGTACGAAGAGCCTAGTTGCACTGTTGTCTAACAACCAGATATTCAATCCGATAAGTCGTTTTACTTTGCATATCTAAGAAGAAAATCTGCTATCACCCAGTTCTTCTATTTCATCATTTCGAGATATGTCTTTTCAGGGCTTGTACGAGCATGGCTATTTACTAAATCCTGTCTGTTGTTATTCTGATTAATATTTGACACTTTAATGTTCTTTTTTTATACAACCGTTTACAAAATACAAGGCCCAGAAGACACTCAAGGTAGAGGTCTACTGAAAGAAGTTGTTGAACGGCGTTAAAGTAGAAAGTAAGAAATGCATATTGTGAGCATATATTTAATATATAAAGGTTGATCCTACACTTTATCGAGAAAGCAACCTCTCGGGAGTCTGTTCCTGAAATTAACAGTTCTGGGGAAGAATCTGTCTTAGTGGAACTTGCTGCATACGAATAGAGTGAGGATGAGTTGAGTGTGTATACGTAGCATGGTAGGTCCGAGATGTGAAGTTTCTGGATTGGGTGGACCAAATAATGCAGCACGCCCGAACATTTGCCATAGCGATAGAGTAACGAAAACCTAACATCGTTTGGTCTGAGGAAAAGGGGTTGTAGGTTGGAAAATTAATTATCGCCCACGATGCCACTTAAACGGTTTTGAACTCTGTTAAGGCTTGAAAATGAAGATTGCCTAGCTCCACATCAAATATAGCATTAATCCTCCATTTTTGTTTCAACCTGACTCTTGCAAATATAGAACATGGAAGAAGGTATCCGGGACTAGAAAACAGCCATTTTTCAACATTTTTAGTGGGGGATCACATGTATGAGTTCCACTTGAAGTCTACTCTGAGCATGAATCTCAGGAAACGTTCAAGACAAGGAGCCTCATTGAGAGTAGATAATTTATTATGACTGGAGAAAACGCAGGGTTTGCTTGGTGATAATAAAACGTTAGAAGCTTGTTCCATTCACACAAACTCGTTAATAACTCCCGGTTGTTAATCCATCTTTCTCTTGCCTACATTATATTCTGCATGTCTTTTCTTTTTTCGTCTATTCCTTCGGAGAGTTTACTTCTTTTTTCTTTGTGTCTATTTATTTTAAGTTTTCTTCTTCTTCTTCTCCTCCTCCTCCTACAACTACTACTCCCTCTTCTTATTATTATTTTAGTACTACTACTACTTCCTCTCATTATTATTATTTTAGTACTACTACTACTACTACTACTTTTTCTTCTTTGCCTCCTTCTTTTCCTTGTCTTCCTCATTCTCCTACTACTACTGCTAGAAATAGTACTACTACCTCTTATTATTATTATTTTACTACTACTACTACTTCACCTTCTTGTTCTTCCCCCCTCATTCTCCTCCTCCTCCTTCATATTTTCTATTCTTTTATTTCTCTCATCTATACATTCTGACAGTCTGCGTCTTTTTCTTCTTTTATCCACTCATTTGAAGTTTTCTTTTTCTTTTTCTTCTCTGTTTTTCTTTTTCTTTCTTTCTTTTTCGTCTTATTTTTCTTCGCCTTCTTTTTCTTTTTCTTTCCCACCTCCTCCTTCATCTTCTCCACTTATTTATCTTCTTCTTCCGTCTGCTCATTCACAGACAGTTTTTTCTTCTTTATGTCTACTTATTTTGATTTTTCTTTTTCTCCTTCGATCTTCGTTTTTTTGTTTCTTCTTCTTCTTCATCTTCTTCTTCTTTTTCTCGTCCTCCTTCTTCTTTTCTATTCTCCATCTTATTTATCTTCTTCTTTCATCTACTAATTAGTTTTCTTTTTCTTTTTTGTGTCTACTCATTTTGAGTTTTATTCTCCTTTCTTTTTATTTTCCACCTTCTTCTTTTCTATTCTTCCTTTTCTGTCTTTCCTTCTTCTTCTTCTTCTTCTTCTTCTTCTTGTTCTTCTTCTTCTTCTTCTTCTTCTTCTTCTCTCTACGCTTCCTGATATCATCCGTTTCCTTGTCTTTTTCTTTCTTTTGTTGGTAATCCCTTTGAAAATATCTCCTTGTCCCGTCGCTGGTCTTTGGACTTTACTGTGAAACAAAGACAATATAACAAAACACTTCACGCAATTCTTTCAACCCAAACTAAAAATTTACCTCATATTCAAACATAACGATTAAAGGATTTAAAAAATAAGTAGACTGAACGTTACATAGAACAAGTTTCCAGGGGAACAAACGCTTCACAATTAAGTAGTTGCCGTGAAAAGAAAGAAAAATCGAGCAAAAAATAAGCAAAGAGATGGAGTGACTGGAAAGGCCTTTGATGAAAGAGGCTTTCTTGTTGTTGCAGTTTTAATGGCTGACAAGGACAAATTCGCACTGATTATTGTTTATTATATTTATGCTTTTGATAATTTTTATCTGTCTTTACCGGGACAGTCACTCGGTGAGGAGAACGCGTTGGTCTGTCTCGCTAGCGATAAGCGTCATGATTAATTGAAAAACGGCTTTAGAGTCATTCTACTGTTTATTTCTTTCTGGCCTGTTAACCGCTCTCAGCAACGATTCTTTATTCTTTCTGTATCATGATGATGATTATGACATCCGTGCTTTGCTTGGAATTTACTCTTCCAACGGATAACAATAGCTAGTTCGATCCATATACTATGCCTTACTCTGAAATCTTGAAGCAAACTATGTTTGAGAAATAGACAGCATGTTGAAATGGTCAGCAAGCGAATGGAAACATTAGACCGAAAATAGAATGTAACAGAATGTGTAGCTGGCCCCAAATGGTAGACTCTAACGACCTGATCTGAATTGGGGACAGTCCAACCCCTGACGGCGTTGATTCCTTACTGAGACAAGTTGGCAAGTGATAAGTAGTGGAACAACCGATTGGCAATGTTACGTCTTTTTGGGTATATAGCGCATATAACTAGTGAGCGAGTCAGAATGACCTATTTCCCTTTATAGTCGACCAATAGAAGGTTGACCAATCAGAAGCCACCCAACACTGTATTCATAGTGTATAAAGGCGGCCATCTTGTTTCCTCCTACCGGAAGGACCAAAGGCTAAGGATGAACTACACTCTGCTGTGATATCCACTGCGAACCTCCACTACGTTTTCCTACTGTCTCCGAAATATTCACTGCCAACCTCTGGATGCGATACTCGAGGATGACCGTCATAGAAATATCTAACAGGCAATACTCTATTTCACTCTCCTTCTCATCCCTCCTATAAACGGCGCTACAAATAAAATGAGTAAAAAGAAAATTTGACAGTCGCTGATACACTTTGTAATGTAACCTAGAGGTGTAGACATGTGACGAATACGTATCAGTACAGAGATAAATTCGTCCCGAGTCGCGTGCAGACATGTGTCAAGAGAATAATATCTGGGCTTCTCTAATGGCAGCAGAACAGCTTGGCATATCCAGATACTGTCTTCTCTGCAACTTGTTCAGATCCGGATCGTTGTCAACAGTCTCATGTCAATAAAAGCGACTGAAAAACCAGCAGTGAGCGTGTGCTTTTGCCATTATGCGTACGGCCTTTTGAATAGATTTGCTAAACCAAGATCAGTCAGTTTTTTGTGCTGTAAGTGTTACTATTCTTGTTAAATCTTACTTAATTCTAGCCTTTTTTTGGCAAGTTGACAACTGTTTTCTTTATTTGTCTCTTCATTGAATTCTTTTATTTATTAACTGTGCTGTGAGGTGCGTTCTGTCATCATGGAGGAGTTATACTAGTATTTGACTTGGCAGGAACTACCTGCTACACCAAAATACTTCTTGGGAGTCTTATAGCAAAATAAAGAAAGATGATACGCATTTTGCAACCATGCAGGTACATTACCGGAAATTAATTTTCGATAATGAGCTCCTGACAATGCTTTCGGCATTGGAAACGGTGGTCCGGTGGTCTTCCTGTTGACCATTGATGTCATTACCAGGAAGTTGGTTGAAATTAGCAAAGAGACAACGGAGGATGCTCTAAATAGCCTAAACATAGGGGACAATGTGTTGGCCAAAAGAAGCAATGTCATATGGGACATCCTGCTGGACAGCGACGAGACAGCCGGAGGAAGCAGTGGGGTCTGAGAAGACCAACACAGCAGAATGTCCCGGTCAAGAAGCCGGCGTCACCACAGAAGAAGTATAATCAGGGGTTGCAACAGCCGTCGCTGCAACAAGAGAATCAGAAGCAGCTGGCAACAACTGAAGCAATCGAAACAATAGCAGCAGCAAAACAGCAATAACAAACGGAGGTCGACAGGATGCCACCTCCTAGAGTATCGTCTCTTTTAATCCACCTCTCATTATATAAGGCAATAAAATTAACCTTGCCGACGGATTTAGTCCGAACGAGGCTTTGTTAGTCTGGGATAATCCTTCTAGGTCCAGACCATCGTAAATTTTCGTCTCTGAATGACGTATTGTTTCAAGGCAGTTTACACGAATGTGATTACTACCCGTATGATTGTGGATTGAAGGAAACTACCTTAGCTTAAGATTAAGATCAGAACTTGCAGAAAGCGACTGGTTTCGGCAGATTTCATCAAAAGCTGGGTGAGAGTTGTCAGTCTGGTTCACGTAAATCAAGATAACCTGGATTCTCTTTTTAGTCCCTTCAAGTGACAACGGTGCGGATTCATAATGAATCCCATTCCTGGTTAAGCTAATCTCTTTTGTTGTAATGACTGTCATTCCTGGCCTCGTCTCGGCCTTCTCTTTGTTATGGTACCTTTCAAGATTCGCTTGCTCCCTACTTTTATTTTATCGCTTTATATCTTGATTGGGCCAGGCATTTACATTTTCCTAGCCTCAAATTATTTTCGTCCCCCCCACACACACACCATTAGCGAAAGAGCTTCTTGATTGTGTTTATCGAAAGAATACCTCGGCCATTCTGTTTTTTGTGGATTAAACGGTTCCTTAATAACACAGATTTAATTTCTTTTAAATGTTTAGATTATATATCATTTTGATTAAACAGGTTTACTCCCTTCCCTTTTCAAGTCATCGTAATTGATTAATTTGATTTTTAAGGGTATATCAACATCCTGATGGGCCATTTAATGCGTAAATTTAATTTTCTTGGATGCTTTCAAGTATTAAAAATATAAATGTTTATCAGCTTTTTTTGGAGTAATGGATAGCAGCTCGGATTGAGGAATCGGAGACCCGAGTTCGAATTCCACTCGAATCCATTACATTCACTTACGTGCTAATATGAATCCTAGTGCTAATATGGATCTTATCGCCTCAGCTATGGTAAATATCATGACAATCTGGGTTCTATAAGTTTCGGTGGCAACCAGTCTAGGAGAAGGAAAAAATCTGAATTCAAACCCGGCCTGGAGATGGTTGGGCCCCATCAGGCTATCTTGCCCAAGAAACACTATTTCTACCATGGCTGCAGTACATATGATGCCCCAACGACCCTCCGTCTCGGGTAAAGAAAAAAACATGATCTCTCCGCCAGCTATGAGTAAATTAATGGGTAAATAGCAGAACAAATTGGGTTCTATAACATTGGTCTAGGAGAAGGAAAAAACTCTGAATTCAAATTCGGCCTGGAGAGGGTCGAGCTCTTTCAGGCTATCTTGTCCATGATGTGGTTGCAGTACACATGATACCCCTAAAAGTCATGGGATTAAAAAAAAATCTATTTTTACAAGTGAATACATGGTAGATGATTGATTCTCAGCTTTTGAGTATATACGTGTTTGTGTGGACATAATTACTAGACATGGTGTTGTGTGTTTTATATTTGTAGCTTTATGGAAGATATATTTTGGAATACAGTTTGATTTCTTTAAAAAATTCTAGGATATTATATGGATTAATATCATGAAAGACTTTTTTATATTGTTTGGTTGGTTGAATTTGTTTAGCGATAATGTCCACCTCTATGGATTCTTTAATACAGAAATCTAAATATTTTGATTGGTTTGATTTTCTTTAGCGGTCTATCTGTCTCTATGGATTCTATTAGAAACGTTAAATGCAGTAGGTTAACCTTAAGACACCCTAATTTACGCAAACGAGCGTAGCGAGATGGTTTACAATTATAGAAATGCAATTCCACCTCAGGAAGGTTACAGTGGAGGATAATAAATTTCATACAGTCAAAAGCGCCCTACCACCCAACGTAGTTACGAACTGACTTGCATTATTTTGCAGTTAAAAGATTACGAAGAATTAAAGCAATCTGTTGTGTCAGCTTATGAAAGGACTAAACTTTAACTAAAGAATTTAATTTAGAGAAGCCGATGGAAACTACCACTGGTAAGTTCCTTAGCTTGTCTCCAGAACATGCTGGCCACAGCTATGAGAACAGGTGTCAGCGACGAAATTGTTAGGCACAAGTTTATTCGGACCCTGCCTCAATAATTAGCGTCAGAGATGCCTTTAGAGGAGTTAGGGAACCTACCCGAAGAGTTGATACCGTTGGTAGTTAATAACACTTCTGTGTTACAACTGTTGAATAAAGTGACAAATAACAAAATAGTACCTCGCGAACAAAACCAAATTAGTAGAATACCTGTGGGGGTGTACAAACTTTCTATCCAAATCAAAAGCCAAAAGTATGGAGGGCTTATCACTATTACGCAGAACAAACCATGACATGTAATCCATGGTGTAGATGGAAAAAAATACACACAAGGTACAAATATTACCAAATTCACCTCCCGGCCCAGGCGAGTCTGAGAAACCAGTGGTCCGGGCAGCACTAGCGACATCAGATCCAACAGATTTAGAAGACGCCGCTAAAATAAGAGCTACTAAGTTTTGGCAGTGATTCGCTTTTGTCACCTCGTAGATCAATCACCACGTAATGTTATTCACTGACCCTAAGCCTTTTTATGTGGAGGCTTCTACCGCCGAACGGACGCGAAATCGGATCACCAGCAACGACAGCTGTCGGTACTTGCTTGACGTAGCGCATATAAAAGAGAGATAAAAAAAATATAGTTATAGACCGCATGTTCAGACCTGCATTAATAGTGCAGATAGACACCAGGAATAGGCGAAACGATAACAACTGAAGACGAAGTAAAATCATATCCAAACTTAAAAGAATACCCCATGTTGAATGGAGGTGGTTCAATTCTATGTGACACTCCCACTATATACCCTTGACCGTTTACCCTAAGCATCCGTAAGTTGTTTCCGGTTGCCCACATTCTTCAGCGCATCCATTAATTGGAGCGGCTACAAAATTTAAGCAGCTCTGTAAAGAATGTGTTGTTTCTCAACAGTCTGTTTCACAAAATCTCGGAATCTACACTCCACAAAGTTGATTCTTTTTTAAGCATTTCCCCCCAAGCAAGGCACTAGTATGTAAGGGGTTACAAAGAGTGAAAGTGAGAGAAAAGCCTGACTATAGGACGTATCGAAGAAAAAAAAAAGATGAACGGGGATAAATACAGCAGATGATGGTGATTGACGTTGCATTTAATTTTTGGAATATTGTAGTTATCAGGGAAGCCAGTAAAAGAAAGGAAGTTCCATTTTCGAGAAGTGAGAGAAAAGAAAGTTTTGAAGTAGAAGTGGCGGATACATTTAACTATTTGAATAGTAAACGGATGGGACCTAAATGCCAATCTAGTAGCACGCTTAAATTCATGTAGTCGGTGCACAGGAGAAAAAGATCGTCAGAGCAGTAGCTATGAAACTATTTGTAGAAAAGACAGAGGGAAGCCACATCACGTCTGTGAGAAGTGAATGAAACCAAGATGCAAAGTCAGGACCGATTATATTGCAAATAATTCTTTGGATTTTGTCGACAACACCCAAATGAGCAGCAGGTGTACCTGACAACATATAGCAATAGTATTCGATGCACGGACAAATGGTAGATTTGTAGATGTGTAAAATGGACTCTGACGAGAGAAAACTTCTGGAATGACACAGTGAACCAACTTTCCTTGCAGTAGATGCAGATATTGATTCAATGGAGTTACAATCAGCTCGCATTAAAACGGTTAATCTGAATATTGCCAGTTCTCTCCTAATAATCATCTTAGATCCAGACACGTACCTAAGTCCCTACAGGTATCTCCCGACATGTATTGATTGTGCAACTAACAGATATAAATACAGGATCAGTGCCGGATGCATTTATGTGTGAAGAGCTATGTTTGGTGTTCCAATATATGTCTTCGCAAGCAGAGGGAATCAATTCGAAAGGGAATTGTTCCAAGAAATATCAAAGTAGTAGGCTTCTATAGATTAAGAACTGCTTATCATCCTCAAGCAAATGGATTAGAGGTGAAAGCCCTCCGCACACGGAAAACACCCATAATGACTCATAGCAAACCTAATGATTTAGGTTTTTCCAATTAAAAAAATGAACTCGACACGAGGAGAATTGTTCCCTCGGCGACGAATTTTAATGTTTTCCATCGAATCAAACATCTTTTGCAAGGAAAATTGGGTAACCTATAAAAAAAATCTTGCACATTTACAAAACTACCATCGCCCGTGTATTGAATTGTTGCAATATCTGGTCTGGTGCTTCATTTCGAGGTTTTTGACAAAACCAAAGAGGATCTCTAAATGTAATCAGTTCTGACTTGACAATCGACTTCAGCCACTGTCTCACCGACGTGACAAAATTGCCTTTTCTACAAAGTTTGAACGCCCGAAAGGACCTTTTCTACAAATCCATGGTGCAATTCGAGGCGTATAATTTTGTTTGAATGACACCTTCACACAACTAATAAAACATTTCAAAAATCACTGTACAAAATATGGCTTAGGACTGGTCGAGGCAGAAAACCTTTAGTGCGCCGTTTAAATATACAAAAATGACACGGTCAACTAAAAATGTTAAATTGATATGAAATTTGGAACCTATTCATAATGTCTTGGTACTAAAGAGGAAAATTCCATTTTTATTTTGTGTACTGAATTAATCCGTCCTGGGTATGACGATAAATTTCATCCACGTCCTGGGTAAGACGATAAACTACGTCTAAAAAAAAGGCCTTGATCAGGAGGCTTTGAGGAGCGTGGAACCACCTTACATTTGGTGTTTCCAATCCAACCCTGGCTCAGGTTGGTAGCACCTTTTTAGGTCCTCAATGAGCAAATTGTTGACCCCGAAACTGAGGTAAAAATAACATTATGAAAGTTGAAAAATAGGTTTTAATACCAGAAATACTGTGTAAAATATATTACCAGAAATAAATTTTTGAAAAAAAATATTAGCAGAAATAAATTTTTCTTACCCAATACGTTTTTGAAAAAT